ACCACAGTCACAGCTAAAACAACAGAAGATCAAAAGTTCAAAAACGTTCAACATTACACAAATGTTCCAGTAGATGCTCTTTTGACCTACAGTTAGTACTTTAGATTCAAAACGACAAGTGATTACTGCTGAAAAAAAAATGGTGACATTACACAACTCAAAAGTTCCTTAAGATAAATTCAGAGTGAGAATCAAAATTAAATATTCTTCAAATCTGAAAAAAATATTGAAACCAGAAATCTTGAGAAGCAAAAAAAACTCCCATCATCCAGAGAAAAAACGAATAGAAAAATGGAACAAAAAAACGAATCTCCAGAGCGTAAAATTTAACAATGATAACACATGCCTTTGAAAACAAAAGTATGTGTAAGGAAATTGATGTGTAAGGAAATTAAATGAATATGAATGAAATTTTTCTTATCAGCGAAAAAGCAGTAAACGGAATCAGTTCCTTTATCGGAAAAAATGGCAGAAATTAAAGCCATAAAATCTGTAAGATACGAAACAGACATCATAGCGCAACAGCTCTTGAAACAGTAGTTCTCTAAGGAAATTTCCCCTTATTTCATAATCATATAGACTGCTATGAAGGTTCAACTAGTTTTAGAAAGCTTTACGAAGCAATGGACGAAATTCTTCATAAGCGAAAATGCGCTGATGGTCATAACCGAGAATATTGGGGTCCACGTAAGAAATCAGTAGTAATGTCTGCCACAAAGATCAAAATAGTCAAATTTCGGTTGTCAACAAGTCATTTCACTGCCATCCGGCATAATCCAGAAACATTGATTGCAGTCGATTCAACTGCAGACCATCTACCGCAATCTGCCAAACCATTTGAGTGAGAGATTACTAACTCAGTGCTGCCAATGTCCACTCACTATTTCAAGGCCACGATTCTTCTCTACTGGCGATAACCAGATTCATTCCTAAATTATACTAACTTTCGCTCTAAGATCCATTATCGGCAGAATCTCGTCTAAAATACAGGTCAATGTCTCGACGGAATCTTTTTCTAAGGATGCATCTTCCGGACTCCCTCCCCCATAGCATGCATTAAATACCCAATTTTTCAAAAACTCGGCTCGCAATGTTGAACTGGAAGGTTTCTTCACGCTCCCCAACCGCTACTGTGCTGGCGATTTTGAAGCTAAGCGTGCTCCCCTAAAACTTGGTTTTTTTTTACTTTTAGCGTAACTTCAATTTTGTACGTGCAGTTCCGGAAGCGTATGTGGTAGTTCAAAATTTGTCCAAATAACTCTCCCTAGCCTTCTAACAATCTAATACCTAAGTGCTTTTCTGTCTCGTATGGCATTTCAAAACTCCACTTTCTCGGTGGACAGTGGTGCCATGAATCGTGGCTACGTCATGCAAACGCAATTTCAAGAGTCCGGAACACACAGACCAACTCCCAACGTGAACTTCTTGTTCACATTTTTCTTGCTCTTTCAATGTATTCTCTTTTGCCCGAAAATATGCAGTCACAGCATTTGAGCTGTGCACATAGAACTTATTGATTCAGGAAATGATTAAAGGAGTTGTTAGAAAAGGTTTCTCAAGACACTTATTCGTGTGAGAATGTGTCAAAAAATCTTCACGATTATTATTGGTCAAAAATTTCTTGCCCATTAGTTTTTGTAAAAAAAAAAAAAAAAAAAA